CCCAAGAAAGACAAGATTGTCCCTATTAAATGAGGACAGAGCAACCTCATTCACTACATGCAGCTAAGGTAGAGCAGGCAGAGATCAATGACTACTCAAGGCACCCCTGCCCGTAGGAAAAGTCAAAGATATTTATAATAGAATAATCCCTTATTCTTATCATAAATACATTCCTAATCAGATAAGACCTCTTTCAAGTAAGTTATCATAATCCCACTTATTTAGGATATTTACCTAATTATTCTAAGATATTTATTTACACAATTGTCTTAGAATATTCTCACCCAAATTCCACCCTAGGGTTGTCCACCTCTAAACCCTAGAAGGCCGGCCTATCTCCTCCAATTCTCCTATAAATACTCTATTTATCTCCAAAATTCAAAGAAGCTTCAGTCATCCCTAAAGAGGTTTTTTGCTTCCTACAAACACTCAAACACATTCTTTTCAGAATTCTAATTTTGGCATCGGATATTCTTCGGCCAAAGCCCCCCCATTCATTGTGGGTGCGTGAGGCTTTTGGTCTTAATCTTAGATGTTATTATTTTGCAGGTGTAGATTCGTAATCTAGGAAAGATGGAAATTTGCATCCTCATATGTCATTTAGTTTACAAAATTTTATCTACATATTTAATCTTCCTAGCGTTACTCATAATTTAATTAAATGAATTCACAATACGCAAACCTCTCTATAAATTACCAACTAATCAAAGTTAAGCTATATTACAATTTACATGTAATTTCCTTCGTGTTTCAGCAGCCTACAAGAGGAAAGGCGGGTCTCTGGCGGCTTAATTTCCATTAGAATATAATAGAGATGCTTCATAGATTTGTATATTGACCCAATTAGTCGTATAAGTTCCAGAAAGTTTGGACAAATATATAGTAGAGGGGTGAATCCATGCAACTTTCTTTCATTCTTTGACCACGAAGAGAAGGTGGATGCCGATTTGCTAGTGCCAAAGTCTCAACTATTACCGGTATTTTACATCCTCATTATAGCGTCTTATGTTAATAATATAAAGATACATGTAACTTTTTATCTACATAATATAATAAGATCCATTTTAATACGAGACGTGTTGATATATAATTGTGTACTAGTATCATATAAGTTACTCTTCGTTTCCACTATCTCATATGCTAGCATTATATTACATTATTGCATGAATAATGACCTTTTATTTTAATTGGAAATTTGACCGTGTGTGAGTTGTGACTTTGGATTCCCATATCTCGACCCTTCCATGCCAAACCCTAAACACACAAAACTGAGAGAATGATGGCATGGGAATAATGCAGAGCGCGGATCATCATGTCAGCTGTCCCATGTCCTTTGAATTTTAATCCAAAGCACTTGTAATTAGTAGTAATTAGTCAACGCAGCAGTTCCAAGTCGGCGGAGTTGTTTAAAGTAAACGTGGGGTTTCCACTTATAATTTTCTAAAGCCAAAAGCCATTTTGATATCTCAATTCAAGTACTTTTATTATTTGTTTTTGAATTAAAACATTTGAGTTGAATAATTAACGTGAGATTTTTATTGTAATATTTGGTTACTGTAGGTTCCCGCTCTTTTCAAGTCGCCACATTAACAGCTAAAACCAAGTAATCATACTTTCAATAAATAAGATGGTGCCTTGTTTATAATGTGATTATACGATTATTTATCTTTATCTCTATCCTCATGCGATAACTTACCACGTCATAAGAAATATAGGCAGAAACCAAACGGAGGCATGAGGCCTAAGAGATGAAAATTTAAGAAGGCCTTCTTAATATGAGTATTTATAAAATCATTTTTTAAATTTCATTGAAAAAATTGTTCTTCTTGCTTTTGGAAAAATCATTATTCCCTTCTCTCAAACAAAAATACGAAGAAAAGAGAGTGTCATATGAAGAAAAGGCTGGAGGCGTGATTTGGGTAGGTTTTTTATTTTTTTTTTATTTTTTTAATATTAAGAGTATCTCCACATGTTAGTGGAATACAAGAATAAAGGCATGTAAGTAGCCTTTACTTTGAATAGGCAAGGGCAAGCAATGACAAGTACTATTCACAAATGTTTTTTTTTCTTTTTTGAATCTTTTATGCTTTGTTGGCCTTATGTAGTAGAATTACAAACCAAATTAACAATCCCACTATAGTATCTACTATAAGCAAAACACAAGCCGTAATCACCGTCTTCTTCCAAACTTCGAAAAGAAGTAATTTTGACCATGGACTTAAGCATGAAGTGTTGACAAATTAGACTTTGGGCATGAATTAGCAATGAAGATCGGAAACAATGGTCAACTTTGGGCATTGTCTAGATGTCCCACATCCACCTTCAGCACCTAAACATAGTGCTTCATTTACCTTGCACAAACCTGTCCCATTGATTACCCCTTGAAACCCACTTGCTGGTCAACATTTATGTTGTGGGACCCACTTGCTGGCGTCGTAATGACGTGGCCTTTGCCAGTGGGCTCAAGGCTTAGCAAAAGTTTTTGCTCTTACCTTTCATTAACAGATGGAGATGCTCTAAAAACACTTCAATACGAAGGTGTGACCTAAGGCCTTGCTCACAAGAAAAAAAGCTTAAAATTTTTTAGGGACGAAACATGTTGCACATGTAATCCGTACAATTTATTCGGAATTGTTGGATTTCAAATGAAATTTTTTTTGATAAAATTAGAATTTCGAATCCAACTTGTACCCCAAAATAAAATAAATTTTCAATTTGATAGTGTTGGCCTTGAGTAAATTTGGGCCAAAAACCGAATATACACAAGTCTTCCATAGCCCATATAGAATTATAGTCACCATTTCAATTTTATGATAATTCTAACCAAAACTTGATGTAACAGTACTAACATACCCTTAATATTAGGGTTTCTCACAACAAAAACAAAACCTTCATGGCAATCAACAGCAATCAACCAAGAATGAAAAACTGAGAGAGATTTTGACAAAAAAACAAGAAAAAAAACAGGGAGAGATAAAAAATTGAAGAAATCAGGAGAAGAAAGGACCTGCAAGTGGGTTTTGGAATCAAGGGGAGCTTTTGCTTGGTGTGGATTCTTAAGGCTTTGGCATCGTCACTGTATACAGGGAGGTGTCCATTTCACCACCAAAACCCAAAACCCAAAACCCTAGCAGGTTAGTTATATGTGCTAAATAATTTTTCTCTAAAACCTTTTCCTAATTTTAATATATTTACATGTTAGTTAGATGCGCTAATTAATTGTTTTCCCTTCAGAATATGACTCAATTCGTGACCGTGATCCATTACGGATGGAGGAGGGTTGATAGCCTATACACAGATGGTCAAGTGAAATCAATGGTAGTGTCAATCAAAGTTACTCATCAAGATCTTATACATGGTATATATAAACGTCTTCGTGTTAGCCCGAGTGAATTTAGAATCTCAGTACATTATCAATGCATGCGCAACTTAGGGATGCAAAATATGATGGAGATTGTAAACAATGACGATGTGACTAGTTGCGTATGTGAAAGTCTTTCTGCAAAACCGAACAAGATTTCGTTATATGTTACAACATATCCTCTAAATGAACCTGAAGATGAACACCCAATTGCATGCAGTTCTCCATCACCAACAATGGCAATTCAAGAGAATGATGACATTTTAGGTGATGAACAACCAAGTCAAATTCTTTAAGACAATGCCCAGGTTAGTGAGACTTCAATATATGTGAGTTTTTAGTTTACTGATGACTATCATGATTGTCAAATCCCAACCCGGGCCCCCACCACATCCCGAGCTCGACTCTGCTATAGCACGATATTGTTAGCTTTGGGCCCCTACCACGCCCTCACAATATTTCCGTAGCACGATATTATTGTCCGCTGGGAACTCACACATGAACTTCCCAATGGGTCACCCATCATAGGATTGCTCTAAGGCGAACTCGCTTAACTTCGGAGTTCCTACAGAATCCGAAGCCAGTGAGCTTCCAAAAGGCCTCGTGCTAGGTAGAGATGGGAATATACATGTAAGGCTTGCAAGATCCACTCCCCTGGGCGATGTGGGATGTTACAATCCACCCCTCTTAGGGGCCCGACGTCTTAGTCGGCACACTTCCGGCCAGGGATTGGCTCTGATACCAAATTGTCACATCCCGGGCTCGACTCTGCCGTAGCACGATATTGTCCGCTTTGGGCCCCAACCACGCCCTCATGGTTTTGTTTCTGGGAACTCACACGAGAACTTCCCAATGGGTCACCCATCATAGGATTTCTCTCGCGCAAACTCGCTTACTTCGGAGTTCCTACGAAATCTGAAGCCAGTGAGCTGCCAAAAGGCCTCATGTTAGGTAGAGATGGGAATATACATATAAGGCTTACAAGATCCACTCCTCTGGGCGATGTGGGATGTTACAATGATAGTACCCATTTTGATAATGTGCAGTCTAACGATGCCAATGTCAATCTATCGTCGTCTCGTCGTAATAAACGTAAGAGCATACAAGGCTATGCTAATATTGTAGATTTGAATATAGATGGAGATATTATGGTCGGACAATTGAACTCGAGTAAGAAAGAGTTGCAAAAACAATTAGTTATGATTGCAATGAGGAAGAATTATGAGTTTAAAGTGGAAAGATCAACTAAGGATCGTTTGGAAATTAGATGTGTGGATGATAATTGCAAGTGGTGACTTCGTGCAACCAAATTACAAGTGTCAGAATTTTTTGAATTAAGAAAATTTGAAACTAATCATTATGTTCATTAGATGTTGTTCAGCGTGATCATCGGCAAGCAAGTAGTTCTGTTGTTGGCCAATTTATAAAGTCAAAGTATAAGGGGCATCACGTGCATATAGACCTAAAGACATCATTGAGGATACAAGTTGGGGTTAATATGAGCTACAAGAAAGCTTGGAGAGCAAGAGAGCATGCATTTGACATGATCTGAGGATCGCCAGAGGAATCTTTTGCCGCACTTCCTGCCTATTATGCCATGTTAGAAAGTAAAAATCCTAGGACAGTAACACATATAGAAATGGATGACAATAATCACTTTTTATACTTTTTCATGGCAATGGGAGCCTCTATAAGGGGATTTCGTGGTTCTATGAGGCATGTGGTAGCAGTTGATGGGAGTTTTCTAAAGGGTAAATATCTTGGCACCTTATTTGTCGTTGTATGCCATGATGGACAAAATCAAATATATCATTTGGCATTTGGTGTGGGTGACTCAGAAAATGACGCTTCATGGACATGGTTTCTTACAAAATTGAGAAGTGCCATGGGAGAGGTAACAAACTTGGTGTTTGTATCTAATCGACATGAAAGTATTGGTAAAGCTGTGCAAACTGTGTTTCCAGAGGCATATCATGGAGCTTGTATGTATCATGTAGCTGGCAACATGAGGAATAAATTCGGTGATGATGAAATGATGTTTAAGTTATATTCCACTGCAGTAAAAGCATACCTTGTGTCAGAGTTTAATATTGTTATGATTGATATTTGGGCAATCAAAGATGGAAAAGTAGGAAAACATCTTCAAGAAATTGGGTATCATGGATGGGCTCATGCACATTTCAATGGAAAACGATACAACATGATGACAACCAACATTGCCAAATCCATGAATGCAAATCTAAAGGATGCTCAAAAGTTTCCTATCACTACTCTAGCAGATCATCTTAGAGGTATACTCCAAGAGTGGTTCAACGAACGTCGAAACACAACAAGTTCATGGAATTCGACCTTGACAAAGTGGGCAGAGGAAAAAGTGCACAAGAATCAAAATAGAGACTTACGTATGTCGGTATGTATGATTTTTTTACATTTTTATCCACTCTCACATTCCTAATGCACACTGGACACCTAAATCCACATAGAGTCCATACCAAGAATAGACAAAGAAAAAAAATAAAGAACCGACACCCGTCCATACTTGCAGTGTTGACAAAGATTTTATCATTTAGGTACAATAGTAGCTCTGTTTTTTTTTCCAAAAGTACTTCTTCGTAGTCAAAGGTTGAGGCCTCTGTCGAAGAAAAACTTTCCAAACTTGTTCTCCAAATTTTTTGAATAAGACCAACATTTTGTTCTTATAAGGATCACGATAATCACCTATTATTTTAAATAGAAATCTAAAAGCCAAAAGCTACAAGCTAAAATCTAAAAGCTAAAAGCTAAAAGCATATGTTAACTCTTTATTTAATCAGTTGTGGCCAGGAAGCATGTAATATTTCGTGGTTGAGTGAGCTGGATGATGGCCAAATCTATGTGGTTAGTGCACATATTTTGTTAACCAAAAACATAGTTAAAATGTTTCAAACAAATAAACAGGTTGATAAAAGAATATGATAATTATGATTAATTGGTCTCTTGTTGTTGGTTGTCACTTGTCAGATTAGAAGATTTGCAATTTGCAAATAATTTGACGTATTCTAATAAGTTTTTAAGTCCCTAATTTTTCCCATTGGTGTTTCTTCAAGGTATTGTGTGCAAGGTTCTAAAAGTCGTTAGGCGCTAGTTGGGCGGCAGGCTGGGGCCTAGCGCCTAGGCGGACTAGGCAGATTTAAGTAAATCTATCATATTTTAGGTAAATAAGTGTCTGCTTCTACTTGAAATATATATAATTTCATCATAAACTACAAAATAGAATGCATATATATCATGAAGTATTGGAACATAATGAAAACATGTGAAATAAGGATATAATGTTTGTTCATTCAAGTATGCAACAAGTCTCTTACAAGTTATTGGAAAAAAAACAAAATGCAAAATGAAAGTTATGTATTTTCTGTCTAAGTGAGTTGCAACCTAGGCGAGTGCCTAGGTGGGCTAGGCGGGTGCCTAGGTGGTCTAGGCGGTGGGCTGGGGCCTAGGCATTAATCGGGGCGGTGGGCTGAGGCCTAGCGCCTAGGCGAGGATTTTTAAAACAGTGATTGTGTGTGCATTTTTTAATTTTTTTTTTCTTCGCATGGTTGACAACTATGCAGGTATCTTCCATTAATCATTATGCATTGCAAGTACATGAGGCAGACTTATATCATATGGTTGATCTAAATGCCAAGTCATGCATGTGTAAAATGTTTGATCTCGACCAATTTCCATGTGTCCATGCAACTGTTGCATGTCGAATTCGCAACACATCGGTGTACACTATGTGCTCCAAATTCTACACAGCCAATGCAATTGTGCTAGCGTATGTGGAGCCCATTTGGCCGATTGGAAACAAGAGTGAATGGAGTGTGCCAGAAGAGGTGCAGAATAGAGTTGTGTTACCTCCAATCAGACAAGTTGTATCTGGAAGACACAAGATAAACAGAATCCCATCTCAGGGGGAGGAAAGGATAGTGAAGAAGCAGTCGCTGTGGTGGGACATGCCACAATCGCCAAACTTGCAAGAATCCAATTAGACTCCATTCCAGCACATGATGTGAATGTTTTTCTTTGGAATTAATTACATTATTATATTTCTATTATTCGGAATTTATCACATTATTGACTTTTATATTTTCAATCACCAGTTTAGCAGAAGAACCTCACACATATTTTAGCTTACAAGGGTTTTTGCTCCTCTATTTTTAGATTCAAATTTTGCTTCGGAAATTCAGTTCCTGATTAATTTTTATGTTTAGTTTACTGGGTTATCTTCAATTTTCACATTCTTTGATTACATTTGAATATCTATATTTACTATATATATTGATTATAAAAATATATATAAATAAATAAATAAAAGAGTGTAGGAAATGGAGGGGTTCGAGAGTAGGGGTATTGGATAGTATTGAAGAGGCTACCTTTTTTATGCTTCAAGATCTCAACTAATTGTTGTGTTTTTCATGATTAAGAGCAATGAGGAATTTTTTTGTCATTAAGGGTATATTAGTATTTATACATCAAATTTTAGTTAGAATTATCATAAAATTAAAATAATAGCTATAATTAGACCTGGCAAACGGGTCGTGTAAGTCGTGTTCATGTCGTTTTCGTGTAACACCTGTTATCTTAACGGGTCGTGTCGTGTCACACCTGTTATCTTAACGGGTCCTTAACAGGTCGGGTCACTTTACCCAACGGGTAAAATGACCCGACCCGTTATGACCCGTTAAGAAAAATATTTTTTTTTCTTAAATTTGCACATACCACAAATGGTCACATAAATATTACTTCAAAATATTAAAACACATTTGTCGTTTAAATACTACATCTACACTAAAAAATAAGAGTCTCATAAAAAATACATTCATACACTACTAATCTATTACAAATATTAAATGTGCAAGGATATGCAAAATGAAAGCGTTTTTGTTTTCAAGGTTGTGAAGCCTTTCTCAAAAGTTTAAACCTTGCCAATGGAACTCAAAGCTTAATTAAGTATAACATAAGATTTTGTGGTATCCACTAGTGTAAATATTTTAAATTGAAGATCAAATTCATTCATTGTATTCATATAGGGTCAAGGAGTGTACTTGTAAAAAATCATCAAAATCGGAGTTAAAATAACCGTTAAATTGTGATTTTTCGTTTATAACCGTCGAAAAAATTTGTCTCGTTACTTAATCTTTAAATGTTTGTTTTTTGCAACTTTTGGCATATGCGATCTCGAAGAATATACAAACAAGTATGACGGTTAGATCGTTGAAACTAATTTCGTAGAATGCATATCTCATCAAAACAATAGATTCACTAACACTTAAGAGTTTATTCTTACTTTCATTAAGTATAACATAAGATTTTGTGATATCCACCAATGTAAATATTTTAAATTGAAGATCGAATTCATTCATTGTATTCATATAGGGTCAAGGAGTGTAGCTGTAAAAAATCATCAAAATCGGAGTTAAAATAACCGTTAAATCGTGATTTTTCGTTTATAACCGTCGAAAAGTTTTGTCTCGTTACTTGATCTCTGAATGTTTGTTTTTTGCAATTTTTGGCATATGCAATCTCGAAGTATATACAAACATGTTTGACGGTTGGATCGTTGAAACTAGTTTCGTAGAATGCGTATCCCATCAAAACAATATATTCACTAACACTTAAAGATTTTATTCATACTTTCATCAAGTATAACATAAGATTTTCACTAGTGTAAATATTTTAAATTGAAGATCGAATTCAATCATTGTATTTATATAGGGTCAAGGAGTGTAGCTGTAAAAATCATCAAAATCAGAGTTAAAATAACCATTAAATCGTGATTTTTCGTTTATAATCGTCGATAAGTTTTGTCCTGTTACATGATCTTTGAATGTTTGTTTTTTGCAATTTTTGGCATATGCGATCTCGAAGCATATACAAACAAATTTGACGGTTGGATCGTTGAAACTAGTTTCGTAGAATGCGTATCCCATCAACAAAATAGATTCACTAACACTAAAGATTTTATTCATACTTTCATCAAGTATAACATAAGATTTTGTGGTATCCACTAGTGTAAATATTTTAAATTCAATATCGAATTCATTCATTGTATTTATATAGGGTCAAGGAGTGTAGCTATAAAAAAATCATCAAAATCGGAGTTAAAATAACCATTAAATCGTGATTTTTCGTTTATAACCGTCGAAAAGTTTTGTCCTGTTACTTGATCTCTGAATGTTTGTTTTTTGCAATTTTTGGCGTATGCGATCTCGAAGTATATACAAACAAGTTTGACGGTTGGATCGTTGAAACTAGTTTCGCAAAATGTGTATCTCATCAAAACATTAAATTCACTAACACTTAAGAGTTTATTCATATTTTCATTAAGTATAACATAAGATTTTGTGGTATCCACTAGTGTAAATATTTTAAATTGAAGATCGAATTCATTCCTTGTATTCATATAGGGTCAAGGAGTATAGCTGTAAAAAATTATCAAAATTAGTGTTAAAATAACCGTTAAATCGTGATTTTTCGTTTATAACCGTCGAAATGTTTTGTCTCGTTACTTGATATCTGAATGTTTGTTTTTTGCAATTTTTGGCGTATGCGATCTTGCAGTATATACAAACATGTTTGACGGTTGGATCGTTGAAACTAGTTTCGTAGAATGCGTATCCCATCAAAACAATAGATTCACTAACACTTAAGAGTTTATTCATACTTTCATCAAGTATAACATAAGATTTTGTGGTATCCCCTAGTGTAAATATTTTAAATTGAAGATCGAATTCATTCATTGTATTCATATAGGGTCAAGGAGTGTAGCTGTAAAAAATCATCAAAATCGGAGTTAAAATAACCGTTAAATCGTGATTTTTCGTTTATAACCGTCGAAAAGTTTTGTCTCGTTACTTGATCTCTGAATGTTTGTTTTTTGCAATTTTTGGCATATGCAATCTCGAAGTATATACAAACATGTTTGACGGTTGGATCGTTGAAACTAGTTTCGTAGAATGCGTATCCCATCAAAACAATATATTCACTAACACTTAAAGATTTTATTCATACTTTCATCAAGTATAACATAAGATTTTCACTAGTGTAAATATTTTAAATTGAAGATCGAATTCAATCATTGTATTTATATAGGGTCAAGGAGTGTAGCTGTAAAAATCATCAAAATCAGAGTTAAAATAACCATTAAATCGTGATTTTTCGTTTATAATCGTCGATAAGTTTTGTCCTGTTACATGATCTTTGAATGTTTGTTTTTTGCAATTTTTGGCATATGCGATCTCGAAGCATATACAAACAAATTTGACGGTTGGATCGTTGAAACTAGTTTCGTAGAATGCGTATCCCATCAACAAAATAGATTCACTAACACTAAAGATTTTATTCATACTTTCATCAAGTATAACATAAGATTTTGTGGTATCCACTAGTGTAAATATTTTAAATTCAATATCGAATTCATTCATTGTATTTATATAGGGTCAAGGAGTGTAGCTATAAAAAAATCATCAAAATCGGAGTTAAAATAACCATTAAATCGTGATTTTTCGTTTATAACCGTCGAAAAGTTTTGTCCTGTTACTTGATCTCTGAATGTTTGTTTTTTGCAATTTTTGGCGTATGCGATCTCGAAGCATATACAAACAAGTTTGACGGTTGGATCGTTGAAACTAGTTTCGCAAAATGTGTATCTCATCAAAACATTAAATTCACTAACACTTAAGAGTTTATTCATATTTTCATTAAGTATAACATAAGATTTTGTGGTATCCACTAGTGTAAATATTTTAAATTGAAGATCGAATTCATTCCTTGTATTCATATAGGGTCAAGGAGTATAGCTGTAAAAAATTATCAAAATTAGTGTTAAAATAACCGTTAAATCGTGATTTTTCGTTTATAACCGTCGAAATGTTTTGTCTCGTTACTTGATATCTGAATGTTTGTTTTTTGCAATTTTTGGCGTATGCGATCTTGCAGTATATACAAACATGTTTGACGGTTGGATCGTTGAAACTAGTTTCGTAGAATGCGTATCCCATCAAAACAATAGATTCACTAACACTTAAGAGTTTATTCATACTTTCATCAAGTATAACATAAGATTTTGTGGTATCCCCTAGTGTAAATATTTTAAATTGAAGATCGAATTCATTCATTGTATTAATATAGGGTCAAGGAGTGTAGCTGTAAAAAAATCATCAAAATCAGAGTTAAAATAACCGTTAAATCGTGATTTTTCGTTTATAACCGTCGAAAAGTTTTGTCTCGTTACTTGATCTCTGAATGTTTGTTTTTTTCAATTTTTGGCATATGCAATCTCGAAGTATATACAAACATGTTTGACGGTTGGATCATTGAAACTAGTTTCGTAGAATGCGTATCCCATCAAAACAATATATTCACTAACGCTTAAAGATTTTATTCATACTTTCATCAAGTATAACATAAGATTTTCACTAGTGTAAATATTTTAAATTGAATATCGAATTCAATCATTGTATTTATATAGGGTCAAGGAGTGTAGCTGTAAAAAATCATTAAAATCGGAGTTAAAATAACCATTAAATCGTGATTTTTCGTTTATAATCGTCGATAAGTTTTGTCCCGTTACATGATCTTTGAATGTTTGTTTTTTGCAATTTTTGGCATATGCGATCTCGAAGCATATACAAACAAATTTGACGGTTGGATCGTTGAAACTAGTTTCGTAGAATGCGTATCCCATCAAAACAATAGATTCACTAACACTTAAAGATTTTATTCATACTTTCATCAAGTATAACATAAGATTTTGTGGTATCCACTAGTGTAAATATTTTAAATTGAAGATCGAATTCATTCGTTGTATTTATATAGGGTCAAGGAGTGTAGTTATAAAAAAATCATCAAAATCGGAGTTAAAATATACATTAAATCGTGATTTTTCGTTTATAACCGTCGAAAAGTTTTGTCCTGTTACTTGATCTCTGAATGTTTGTTTTTTGCAATTTTTGGCGTATGCGATATCGAAGCATATACAAACAAGTTTGACGGTTGGATCATTGAAACTAGTTTCGCAAAATGCGTATCTCATCAAAACATTAAATTCACTAACACTTAAGAGTTTATTCATATTTTCATTAAGTATAACATAAGATTTTGTGGTATCCACTAGTGTAAATATTTTAAATTGAAGATCGAATTCATTCCTTGTATTCATATAGGGTCAAGGAGTATAGCTGTAAAAAATTATCAAAATTAGAGTTAAAATAACCGTTAAATCGTGATTTTTCGTTTATAACCGTCGAAATGTTTTGTCTCATTACTTGATATCTGAATGTTTGTTTTTTGCAATTTTTGGCGTATGCGATCTTGCAGTATATACAAACATGTTTGACGGTTGGATCGTTGAAACTAGTTTCGTAGAATGCGTATCCCATCAAAACAATAGATTCACTAACACTTCAGAGTTTATTCATACTTTCATCAAGTATAACATAAGATTTTGTGGTATCCCCTAGTGTAAATATTTTAAATTGAAGATCGAATTCATTCATTCTATTCATATAGGGTCAAGGAGTGTAGCTGTAAAAAATCATCAAAATCGGAGTTAAAATAACCGTTAAATCGTGATTTTTCGTTTTTAACCATCGAAAAGTTTTGTCTCGTTACTTGATCTCTGAATGTTTTTTTTTGCAATTTTTTGCTGATGCGATCTCGAAGTATATACAAACATGTTTGATAGTTGGATCGTTGAAACTAGTTTCGTAGAATGCGTATCCCATCAAAACAATATATTCACTAACACTTAAAGATTTTATTCATACTTTCATCAAGTATAACATAAGATTTTCACTAGTGTAAATATTTGAAATTGAAGATCGAATTCAATCATTGTATTTATATAGGGTCAAGGAGTGTAGCTTTAAAAAATCATTAAAATCGGAGTTAAAATAATCATTAAATCGTGATTTTTCGTTTATAATCGTCGATACGTTTTGTCCCGTTACATGATCTTTGAATGTTTGTTTTTTGCAATTTTTGGCATATGCGATCTTGAAGCATATACAAACAAATTTGCGGTTGGATCGTTGAAACTAGTTTCGTAGAATGCATATCCAATCAAAACAATAGATTCACTAACACTTAAAGATTTTATTCATACTTTCATCAAGTATAACATAAGATTTTGTGGTATCCACTAGTGTAAATATTTTAAATTGAATATCGAATTCATTCATTGTATTTATATAGGGTCAAGGAGTGTAGCTATAAAAAAATCATCAAAATCGGAGTTAAAATAACCATTAAATTGTGATTTTTCGTTTATAACCGTCGAAAAGTTTTGTCCTGTTACTTGATCTCTGAATGTTTGTTTTTTGCAATTTTTGGCGTATGCGATCTCGAAGCATATACAAACAAGTTTGACGGTTGGATCGTTGAAACTAGTTTCGCAAAATGCGTATCTCATCAAAACATTAAATTCACTAACACTTAAGAGTTTATTCATATTTTCATTAAGTATAACATAAGATTTTGTGGTATCCACTAGTGTAAATATTTTAAATTGAAGATCGAATTCATTCCTTGTATTCATATAGGGTCAAGGAGTATAGCTGTAAAAAATTATCAAAATTAGAGTTAAAATAACTGTTAAATCGTGATTTTTCGTTTATAACCGTCGAAATGTTTTGTCTCGTTACTTGATATCTGAATGTTTGTTTTTTGCAATTTTTGGTGTATGCGATCTTGCAGTATATACAAACATGTTTGACGGTTGGATCGTTGAAACTAGTTTCGTAGAATGCGTATCCCATCAAAACAATAGATTCACTAACACTTAAGAGTTTATTCATACTTTCATCAAGTATAACATAAGATTTTGTGGTATTCCCTAGTGTAAATATTTTAAATTGAAGATCGAATTTATTCATTGTATTCATATAGGGTCAAGGAGTGTAGCTGTAAAAAATCATCAAAATCAGAGTTAAAATAACCGTTAAATCGTGAGATTTCATTTATAACCGTCGAAAAGTTTTGTCTCGTTACTTGATCTGTGAATGTTTGTTTTTTGTAATTTTTTGCTGATGCGATCTCGAAGCATATACAAACAAGTTTGATAGTTGGATCGTTGAAATTAGTTTCGTATAAGTCGTATCCCATGAAGTTCAATGGTGTGTGTGTATATATATATATATTTATTTATTTATTAAGTAGATTTAAATCTATTTATTTTGTATGTATAATTATTATAGTTTTTAGGGGTATAAAATTTAATTTAAAATTTAATATATATATATATATATATATATATATGACTATTATAGTTAATATTTTGGGGGTATAATTATTATAGTTTTTAGGGGTATAAAATTGTTAAATTAATATATATAATTATTATAGTATTTTTTAGGGTTATAAAATTATAAAATTAATATTCTGGTTATCGTGTATTGTGTTACTCACGTGTATACCAAACCAATCCGTTATCTTAATAGGTGCTTATCGGGTTACCCGATAACGACCCGGTTCGTTATCGTGTCGACCTGAACAGCTGTTAATTTCGTGTCGTATCGTGTCAGTTATCAATCGTGTCAGAAATTACAGGGCTATAATTCTATATGGATCTAAAATATGATTACTTTTCCAAATTTCCCATTCGCCTCATCGTTCTCATGGCGTAAGTCGGTGATAGAGGAGGCAAACTGTAACTACCAAGGGGGTTAGGGCTCCTCTCAGGTTCGCAACTCGACTAGTCGACCCTCGCATTCGAATCGAATCCGGTGGAACGATGTGGCACGAAGCCAGGAGGTCGGAGCGGAAGGTCCACGACATGATGGACGCCGCTCGTAAACGAGCTCAAAGACGTGCCGTTTTCCTGGCCAAGCGCCGCGGCGACCCCCAGCAGTCGATCCAGGTCGTCGGCTCTCGCTGCCGCATGTGCCGCGATGACGGCCTCTACCAAGCCGCCGAGGACCAGCAAGGCCTGTAATGCTCCTTTACCTCAACTCTCCTTCTCTCAGCTTCAATTTGCATGTGTATGTATAATCACGACGTCGTTTTGTTCGAATTCAATTTCTATCAGGATTCCTTGGAACGGGAAGCAGGATGTTTTGATTGATAGGTATAAATTTCAATTCTGTTTTAGTTTTACTGTCGATTTTTCATATTGAATTTGTGAAGGTTTTTAGCTTGAATTTTGTATTGGTAAATGTAAAATGCAGATTTGATTGGCGAGCTCTGCTCGATTTTATTCGAGATACGCCGCACTTGCGTGCTCAAGAACAGTCCGAAGAAGAGGAGGAATTAGAAGAGTGTGTTAATTTTGAGTGTTATCGGGATTTAATTAAGCATCGTCGTAGAGGATGTCGGTACTTTGTTTTGATTTCTAATCATATGTATTCATTTAAATGTGTATGACATTGTAGATTACACACCATGTTTATGTAATCGAACGGCCTTAAGTTCGTGGGTTATACATTGCTTTTCTGTATGCAATAATTATCTCTATCCGTAAGGGCATTGAAAGACGAAAATTATAAACCTCTGGTGTTCGAAATATTAATTGTGATGTGGGGTTTTAATTTAAGATTGTCACAGTTTAAGCTTCTTACGTTAACAGATAGTGATGATGAGGGTTTGCTACATGTGGAACAAGAGATAGAGGCCAAGTTTACTGCCCCGTTTGCTCCTGACAGGTTTGAATTTTCTTTTACATTTATACGGCTGCAGGTCTTCTCACTATTAGTGGTATGTAAGTTTAGCATACTATGATAGTTTTGCATGTGGCATCAAGTCTTGTTTTTGATGCATTTGTAGGTCTCAGGCGCAACAACCTTCTGCTGTTAAGGGTTCTTATTCGCAGGTGGGGTTCTCTTATGAAGGGAATGGAAAAGATGAGGCCCAGTTTTCGGACTCTGATGATAATGATGAAGATGATGACGAAGATGAGGATGAGGATGATTTCAACAGTGATGACAGCAGTGATGAAGGAATGGATAAAATAGCAAAAGAGTTTGGAATAAAAAGATATGGTTGGCTTGTTTACATGGATAAGAAAGCTAAGGAGGAGGAGAAACGGCAAAAAGAAGTGATCAAAGGCGATCCTGCAATTGTAAGTTCTCACAATTGTGGGTCACATGTGCTTTCTGTTCCAGTAGTCATAATCCATAATTTGAATTTGCAAAACTTTGTAGAGGAAACTAAGTCGTAAGGAAAGAAGGAAGGCTTCTCAGATAGAAAGGGAGAGAGAAAGAGAAACTGCACGGGTAACTGGAACTCGGGTGCTCCACCATGACCCGTACCGGTAAACAATGAATAATTTTATTTTCCAAAATTAGTTGACTTTTGCTCCTGTTGCCCAAGTGGTAGGATTTTTTCTTCCATATAACTTATGAAAAGATTGCACTGCAGTGAAACTAGACGAAGTCCAACATATGAAGCTTATCCTCGCCCAAGAAGGTAAAATCGTTATATCATTCGTATTCGTGTCTAAATCTTTCCACAAAAGGCCTTTGCTTGTTACCTCTTGTTATTTGTGTGTGTAGATCAAGATCTCGATCATATTCACCATCATACTCACGGAGATATCCTCGTGGACGACATTCTGATGATGGTCATCGAAGCAAACCAACAATTGCTAAAATCGAATATATTACTGAATTTGGGGGATCCGGGGACAAGGATGGATCAAAGCGTGAAGGGTTCTCTCCACCATCGTCTCCTTCCTCACAGGCCAATGTGTTAAACCGGTCGGAGCACTCGACCATTTATTCTTACAAAGATCCATTGGACACTCTTTACTCTGCTGCATCTTTTCACCCATTTTGTTAGGTGAGCAAAATTTATTGGTTTAGAATAGATCAGGCTTAGGGGTATCAACCTAACTGCCAAGAGGAAGAGGGAAGGAGGCTTCATTTCTGAAGCTCATTTTGTTCCCAGATATTGTTATTCCTAATGCTTCTTCTTTCCTGCAGGCCCTCAACTGGTCTCATACTTGAGGCTCTGCATATTGATCCTGCATCCGGTGCATCCCTTGAGAAGGATAAGGGTGCTAAATTGGTGAAACCACCAGCAAGGTATCTCATGGAACCTGGATCAGAAGATCTTTTGTTTTTCTTCACATTTGAAGTTTGAGGGAACGTAATCATTGGAGGCTTTATTAATCATTGTGCTTATTATTTTCGTCTCAGCTTTTATCACTGTGGTTTTTCTATATCCTTGTAACTATATTTTTCTCACTTTTTAAACTTTGCTTGCTTCCTTACCTCACAGTAGATCATCAGCATTAGCTAAGTTAACTAAGGGAAGTACTTCTGTTGGGCCGTTGAAGCAGCAACCAGTGGAGAAGAAAGAAACTCCTCAAGAACGACTTAAAAGGATTATGAGCAAGCAACTGAACAAACAAAGTATGTCCGATAACTTAATGCATTGCTTATGTTAAACAGCTTATTGTTATTCATTTTTGTTATCAGTGCCTGACTCATGGTATATAATATCATTTTGAACTTAATTGCTTTTTCAGTTAAGAAAGATACTGCTGCTGAAATAGCTAAAAAGCGAGAGCAGGAACGCCAGAGGCTGGAAAAACTTGCAGAAACAAGCCGATTAAGTCGATCTAGGCATCGTAGCCGCAGTAGGAGCTATAGCCGCTCTCCTCCAAGGTCGGTGATTTTTCTTTTTACATAATAAAGGGTGCTGGCTATAAGTATGAACATAAGGCTGATAATCAAATCATGTTATGATCTCTTATGGTGGGTCGAAAATCGGTGCCACAATTATATTGCCTTGCCCATGATTGTGAAAATGTGTTAAATGCAGAAGACACCAACGTGGTAGAAGTCCGAGAAGGAAGAGTTCCCTAAGACGTTATTCCCGGTCTCATTCTAGATCTCGTTCCCGGTCTAGCTCCCGCTCTCGAACCCGTAATCGTTCACGAACTTACTCCCGCTCACCAAGGTGACCCCACTGTGTATCTTTTCCTTATGTTGCCTGGGGCCTATTGGTACTCATGGGGATTGTTACCGAGAGCGGACCAGCTTACAGGGTTAGGAGCCGTTCAAGATATTGATGGAAAAAGAGTTCAGGAAGGTGAGCATGGTACTTGATGTACTTTTATTTGAGTTTTTCTCTGCTTCTAGTTCTAGAAGGTAGAACCGGTCAATCATACTTGAATTTCTGGGTTTGTGGGATCTCGCAGTGAGTTGTGAAATCCCAAACTTGTTTGTATATGAAATATTATATTAAATGGATTGGTATGATTTTATGTTTCGTTCTCTAATTGGATTGGATTCATTGTTTGCCGCATGAAGAAACGGATGTCAGCATCCAAATTTTGTCCAAGTTGAAGGTAAAACATGGAGTCGTCAAGAATTAAACTTGGTTAAAATTTGAAAATTGACATTCATTTCTTCTTGCAACATTCGTTTGTGGGGGTTTTTCTCTCCGTTTGTGAGAGAATTTTACCAACTTCCATTTCTCACCCTTTCTACCATTTTTTCCTCCCCTTTCTTCAGTTTCTCTCTCTGATTGCTGTTTTGAGAGTCAGCCTTGGATTTCTCTTCTTTCTTTTTTTTTTTGCGTTCTTTTCATACCTTCTTCCTCGTTTTCAGCCCCTTTCCCTCAACCCAACCTACACATCAATCCTTTGCAACAATGAATTTTCTTCTCCACCATCTTCCCTCTCCCATAACCAAGATCTTAAAGTTTCGAGCCCAATCTGGAATCTCATTTGCTACACTTTAAGATTTGATTTTTGCTTTGGGTATGCTTGTCATATTTGGGTTGATTTGGATGTGGGCTGCTTCTATTTAATGGGGATTAAGGTTTTGTCGGCTGTTTTTACTTTTGTTTTTACTTTTGGGCTAACTGCTTTTGATGTCTTCTTGTATCTGTTTGCTGCTGGTGCACCTTTTAGTTCTTCCTACAGTTGTGGATTTCACGTTTGTGGTGGTTGTTTGGATAGTTCGAGAGTCATGTTTGACATATCATTTGATCGCTTGAAGATGACGCCTGTTTCTAGCTCCGGGAGGATGCTACAATATTGTCTTGTATAGATCTCCCGTGGAGGCTTCGATCTCCTCTTTGGCGCTTGGGTTGATGGTGGCGGTGGTTGTAGGGAGATAGAAGAAGTTGCTAGGGTTTCCATGTATGTATGTTTTTTTTTTCTTTTTCTTTTTCTTCTTGTATGGGCTCCAATTTCTTTTTGGGCACAGGCTTACTTTGTATTTGTTTGTATGGAGAGTCCTTTCTTTTGTTTTGTGCTTACTTTTGTATTCGGTACCCTTTTTTTGTAGTCTTGTTCTGTTGGTAATGAAGTTATTTGACCTTAAAAAATGTTAATTGCCCTCAACACCAACCATTTTATAAAGAATTTCAAAAATACAAATAAATAAAAACACCTAAATACAATAAAATGAGTCATCAAATAAGGAATGTAAACCTATGCGGCAAAACCCTAAAGCTAGAGATGGCAAATTAACCTATTGAAATGTAAATGGGTATCCGTTAAGACCCGTTTAAATTGATAACATCATGAGATGAGGGTGTGAATGGTAGTAGTAATATTGTTGTAAGGTAAAATCAAACTAAATAGGTCTTAATATGTACTCATTAACAACCCAATAAGTTGATTTGCCATCCCTACCTCAAGCAATTGACCATAAAAATACCCTAAAGCAAGTTTCATGTATATAGAAAAGCCTAAGGATTCTTTGCCGGTTCTTAGCTTGTTCTCTTCTCTCTTCTTCCCTTTGGCTCGATTATCGTATCTCTTCCCTCACTGCATAAGAAAAACATGGATAATGACAAAATAGCAACGGTGATGCTCTAACACTTGCCGGTGAAGTCAGTTCTATAGTCTCAACTCGTATACAAACAGGTCCCGCGTTCCCCAACATGTCTTGGGCTCACAATCTGATTTTGCTTATAGTTTCAACTTCAATCCTGATCGGAATGAGTACTGTAAATACGAAATTTCCTACAACGAATAAGAATAGAATATGTGTATAAAATGATATTTGTATTAATGAAAAATTAGGGTTACAAACTCTATTACAAATGTTTGATTCCTCTAATTCGATCTCAGTAATTGCCAAGTGTAGATGTAGAGTGACTCAATGGTCGTAACGACTTGTTCTCGAACGATAAACGTCACAAGGATTTGGCTTATGGCAATGGAAGAACCGACACGTGTAGTGATGCTTAACGGTTCTTCACGAGTGTGGCGAAGAATACAAAGAACTTTCAAAGTCTTCTAAGTGTTTGAGAACGTTTGGACGCTTGAGCGTCTGAGCGTAAAAATATGTTTTCTACCCTCTTCTTTATCTTGGAATCTCATATTTGTAGGATCTTCAAGTCTTGATGTGGCTTGATTTGATTTGGGCCTGATTAATTGACGAATGAATTGAGCCTCATTTTGGACTTGGTTTATGACTTGAACCCATTTTTAATCAAGTTATCTTTCACATTTCAACTTTAATTTGACTAAGCTAAATGTCGACGCGTGACACCCTTGATAACTTGTTTGGTTTTTTTAATGAGTCACATGCCATGTTTATAATTTGTGAGACATATGACATATGCCACATAAGCCTTGACATGTCAAAAACTTAAATTGTTGGCGGACATTTATTTCACTAAAATTTCGATGCCTATAAGTGCAAGGTACTCCAAGCACGCTGGGTTTACAAGGATAATATTTGAAACCTGGAAGGAGTAAACTTCTAGGTTCTGATACCTATAGATCTGTCTATTCCACGGTGGAAGGAAGTAAACTTCGAGGTGTTAGCTATGCTTGTTTGTTGATTTTCCGTTTCGTTTGAATTAGCAAAAGATGTTTTCCGGATTTTTTTTTTTTTGGTTGAATGTTTTCCGGGTTTACTTCTGATTTTGCAATAACTTTGATAATGATATCATCGTCTACTTTTCTTCCATGTGTGAATTTGTTCTAGATGAGAGAGAGGGGTAAAGAGAGAAGATGATACTTTCATACTCAATGTTGAAGAACAATTAAAAAATAAATATAAATAATAGAACTTGAAATACTGATTCTTTATTAATGAAAAATACTTGCAATACAGAATGAAATTACATAGATAATTACAAGAATTAAAATGATACTAACTTGATTGAATCACATATAGAGGCTAGCACAAAAGTTATGCCATTCGAATAGTATTTAAGTCTCACTCTTGTGCTTGTGGTTCTATGACGTTTGCTTGATCAGGATACAACTATCTAATTCTACAACCCGCACTGAATTATAGAATTATGGCGAATTGTTTTGTGTGTTTACTCTCTAGGAATTTTGTACAGAAGAGAAAGAGGAAGAAAAGATGATTCTATTGGAAACTGAGATTGCAAATATATAGGTTGTTTCATACCCTTTCAAATACATGTTAAACGTATTTGAAAGTACACAACTCTTTCTAAAAGTTGTGTCACTAAATCAAAACGGTTTTTAATTAATATGTTAATTAAAAAATTTATCAGAAATTAAAATTAATGAACTTTGATTAATTTTAACTTCTAAGGGCTTGATTAATTATATTAGACTATATTATACGAGTCTAATCCACACAACCATAAGGCTAAAGCCTTCAATCCTTTTCCAAATGGTCCAAAGCCAAACCACTAGTATAAAGGACAAAACATAAATAAGGACCATTGGAAACCATATGTTCCCTGATGTGGAACATGGAGTCTCAAAACTCCAACACTCAATTCATGATCCTTAGAATGATAAGAATACAATTCACATTATTTAGAAATACGGAATACAAACAAATACAAAATATACGATATGCATACTTCTACACGGGCCTAAGTGAATGGGCTAATCATTACGGCTGGTATATATGGTTCTCATCAAGGATTGCAGCCACATCCGTGCCTGGTTTTGTCAAATTTATATTGGTGTTAAAAAACTCAGTTTCATAGTTTGTGCATTCTTCTCGTGCTCTTGGGTTTTATTAGCAGTAATGAAGCAGTTATGTTGAAGTTCATTGGTCTCAACTCCTAAATGTTATGCTACAAGATAAAAATATATATCTTCAATGCTATAAGTTAGAAATTTATTTAAAATATGTTGCGGTGGGAAGATTTTTAATGTACTCGAAACAGGAGGCGATATACCATGTGTAATGTGTGTCATAATACAAAAAGAGAACACTGAAAAATACATCTTATCTTCACTTTATGGCAAGTGGTGTACTGACTTATGTTCCGAGTATATAAAAAAATTTCTCATTACGGTAACAACCAAAGGGATGCATTGAATTTGAAGGTGCATTTTGTTTCCGGTGAAGGCAATAATTGTACTTCCTGTGAACCCTTTCATGGAAGTAATAGCCTTGTAAACAAATTATGTTGTAATTAGTTTTTGAAAAGAATATGGAATCAACAAACTATGTTCCACCAAAACTGTGAGCTTTCCAAACAAGTCCACTGTCCAGGTTTGGTGATTGTTCTATTCATTGCCAACTTTAAACCAAGGGGCTTAGGTCAAGTTTCCCCATCAGTCCATCTTAATGCACATTGACAGGAAACAACTAAGCTAAAACAGCCTCTTTCATAATAAATACATTTTTAATAAATGGCATTATATTAGCACTCCACAAATTGTTGAATAAACCCCACATACTTAATACACCCCATATTTGTTTTTTCAATTAAAAATTATCTTAATACACCCCACATATTTCCTCATAATACCCTCACACCCCACATTCTTAATATACACTTTACATTTTCTACATGCACCCCATATTTTCTATACACCCCACATATCTCAAATCTTAGAAAGCTTTTAATTTGGATAAAAAATGCCGGCTAGAATTTTGACAAAAGATGCCGCCTAGGATTTAAAGCATATGTGGGTTGTTTTCAATTCCACCATTAAAGCCCATATCTTTAGTTTTTAATATTTGGTGGTAAGTTTAGGTGTTTAATTCTTCATGTAATCCATGTGATCCCTAAAAGATGAATACGAACATAGAAGCTTGAATAACGCATCAAAAGCAAGATTCAATAATTATCGATGTCGTCAAAATCACTAAAACAATAAAAAATATGAAGTCTTACCTCATGTGAAGCTTCCAAAACATCGATTTCGTGTTTCATTCGTCAAAAATAATTTTTCTCAATCAACATGTTTGTAGTTTCATTGGTTAGGGTTTTGTTCAACAATAGAGGGTTGAAGGGGTTTTGATAGTTGAAGAAAATAAATAATACATTAAAAGTGATTTGGGGTGTATATAGTACTTTTTAAAAAAAAAAACTAATAAGGTCAAAATTGCAATTGCATAGTAGGGTAAATAAGTTATTTAATACTAAATTTTAATGTGGGGTGCATTTAACATTTTGTGAGGTGCTAATATAAAAAACCTTAATAAATTAGAATAAACACGCTAACAACCATAAGTTTTATAAAAAAAAACACAGTTAATTTAGTTGGAGAAAAAAATAAAATTCCCCTTAGTTAGTCTCTTGTTGTGTTCCAATTGATTTGTGATTGTGAAATTCTTTTGATTAATTCTTTTCATTAAGGTTAGTAGAGCTTGAGTTTTTCCTTAACATATTGAGTTTGAAATGTTTGTATGTAAAAATATAACAATATTATCACGAGCTTTTATATGAAAAACCTTTCGTTTTTTTGGAAGGAAGAAAATATTGTGCGCTATATCATGTTCCCATTTGTTAAAATGTAGATGTCTAAGTTTACAGTTTGCCTTATACATATTTTTTTATGCTTATTTTGTTAGAGCGTGCATGCATTCATAACTTTATAAATCATTGAGGGCCTCCCGAATCAAAGTGCCAATTGGAGATTTTAATGTTGTAATGGGAACAAAGGAAGATTGTAAAGATGGATGAAGATAAAGGCAAAGTTCAAGTTGCATGGCATAGCATAGATGCATCCACCATCTTCCTTTTTATTGGCCACTTTATATCTTTCTTTGCATCCCGTGAGCCACACGGGAGTTGTTCTGGGTTTCTGTTAAAGCGTAGCCATCACAAAAAGCTCAGATTTAAATTAAACCTCCATCTGCCTTTGCCCTTTATTCCATCCGTATCACACGCACGCACGCACGCACGCACGTATCTTATATATCTCTCAGTGAAAGTGATGCCCAATTGCATATCATATATTCACATCAACTTTACTCTTTATTTTTTCATCAAACCCTACCTTTACTTGAATACCTTCCTTCCTAGCTACTTGATTTTTGGAGAGAAAGTTGTCATATAAAAATTGAAGAATTCTTACCACCACACGAGGGAGCCTCTAATCTAATTATAATCTCCCTTTAAACTTTGTGATGGAATATGATAAT